AATCTTCTGATTTATAATTGCAGGTTTTGAATTGTTCCAAAATTTGCATTTATTTTGTCTGTTTGTTTTGTAGTGTTTTCCTGAATTATTCTAACGTTTTCTCTGTGTTCTCCTTGTTTTCCTCTACCTTTCTGTAAATCCTCTGAAGGTACCTAAATATTATTCTTGAATTATTTTTCAGTCAGTTCAATTACCTTTTCTTCCTCTGAAACATTTTCTGGTTCTGCATCTTGGTCATTTGTTTGAGCTATTCTCTCATTTCTTTGTGTGAGCTAAAATTTTCTGTGATTTCTGCAGCACTGTGGGGCTATTGTACTTATGTTTAATTTATAATTTCATATTGATTTGTTCTTAAGCTCTCACCAACTGTCTCCTGTGGGTATAGTTAGAGAATGGAAGTGCATAGTGCATTCTCATTCACCATTCATGCACCTCAGATTGGTGGTGGCTGTTGTCTATGATTAATCAGGTGGTATTGTTATTGCTGTTGTTAATGCCATTGAGTTGGTTCTAACCCATAGTAATCTTGTATAGTGTTTCCAAGTAGTGGCTGGTGAGTTTGAACCACTGACCTTGTGGTTCAAACTGACCTTGTGGTCCACCACATTATCCTGCAGCACCCCACCAGGACTCCAATCAGGTGGTATAGGATCTGGTATTGGCTCTTGTCAATTGCATGGAGTTGCAGAGATTACAGTTATGTCTGGGCTTATATAAGCACAGTTGCTGTTTCCTGTCAGGTGGGAAAGTGAAAACCTCTCCTCCCGACACACTCAAGAAAATTAAACAGAATAAACAAACAAGGAACAAATAATGAAAAGAAGAAAAAAAGAAACAAAAGCAAGCAGCAACCAGATTTTGTTTGAATTAAGTATAAAGACAAAAGAGGAACAGGGAAATGGAGCTATGGAAGAGAAGAATCAGACAGGAAATAAATGAAGAAATTAAAAACACATAGAAAACCCAGTGAGAAGGAAGGTGAAAAGAGAGAGTAGAGAATAATAAAGAAAGATCTAAAGGGAAAACAAAGAGGGGAAATAAAAAACAGAAGAAAAGGAAACGCAAAATAGGAGATAGAGAGTATATAATGAAAGGAAATGGAAAGAGAAGGAAAAAAAAGAATAAACAAACAAAACAATGAAACCTCAAAAGGAAAAAAAGCAACAAAAACAGGGCTGCTGTTGGACTTGAGAGATGAAAACTCTGGGGGCATCTGTCAGCCTAGGAACTCACGAGGTGGGTGTGGGAAGGATGTGACAGTGGATTTCCTGACCTTAGATGGGAGTTCTTATTGTCCTCAGAGTTATGTATCTTCAGCACACTCGATTTGGAAGTTATTTGTGAAGGCCCTTGTTGGTACTGCTTTTAGTGTCTGTTAGGACCACAGGAGAACTAAGAGCAGGATGTCTAGTGAAATGCTGGTCCGCTGGCTGTGCTGGTTCTGTACGTCTGGAGACAAGCCTGCCTGCATCCACGCATGAAAGCAGTGCACCAAAGTAGTACAGTTGGCTTCTGCCTCACACTGGCATTGTCTCCCAAACATGTTACTCTGAACTCCTGGAGAGCAGGGTCTGCTCTGGGTATGGATCCGGGTGGGAACTGGCCACACCTCTGGTCACTAGGGGAGTCTGGGGGAAAAGAAGAAATTGCGCCTTTCCTGTCACCTGTGTAAGTCTGATCTGCCAGACTGGCCACTTTCTATTGTCAAAGCCGCTCACAAAATTCAAGATGGCAAGATCATGGCTGGCCAGCCATTCACCATTCAGTCTCTCTGTCACTGTCGCTGTTCAACTTCTCCTCCTAGCAAGCACTCCCAGCAATCTACTTCTCTAACATTATTCTGAAGTTCAGGGTTCCAGAATTTTCATCTGTGTCTGTTACATGTGGCCTCCAATATCTTTGTTAAA